ACCCCGCACCACCTCCATCTGAACACCCTACAGTCAGACGCTGTCACGCTGCCCTCCACCCGTCCCCCCAGTCTGCTCGGTGGTGATCCGAAAGAAAATCGACAGCGTGTCAGCCGCCCGGTCCGTGAGACATAAATAACTCAGCCGTCACGTCACCTTGTTCTGTGGGAAGAGACAAGGGAAAAGACTGGATACTACAACGTGCAATGGCTCGTGGGTGTCTTTGATGAAGGATTCGTTTTATTATTTATAGAAGAAGTCCTTCCCTGTTTAAAAGGCAGTATACTGCTCCTATAGGAGCAGTTCACAGGAGATAATAAATGACAAATTACAATGACCAAAAATACTGTCAAAATGTTTTAGAAGTGTTGTTCATCACGTAAGTATCCGCCTTTATGACAGAGTGTTAGGCTAAAGTCACACAACCGCATTGCTACTGACCCGCCAACCTTTCCGTATTTGAGATCAAATGCCATTTTTGAAGATCAATGTTCTATCTGCGCTTGACGGGAGGCATGGTTATGGAGTATGGACTGACGAGAAAATAGGGGTCTTTCAGAAGGGAAACTGCAGCACATGCATTGCTGATGAGACAGTAACAGCGCTGCCTAGCGCTGATCGATAGAACAATTACCGGTATTGCCGGTTGGCTGACACCCAACGTTGAGTCAGATTTATGTTAACCTTCGCCCCAGTGGGGGGGGGGCATATGTTACCACCCTGTCGCGTTTTTCGCGTGTGAATAAAAAACCGCGGCGCGTAGCGCCGCGCCGCTTGGGGTAGCTTTTGGTACATCAATTTTGGACAATGTGTGAAATTTTTGACCCCAGGTCATGTCAGGTCAGGTCACCAGATCAAGTTAACTGACCAAGCCTTCAAAAAAGTTTGCAATCATGTCCAGCCTGCAGTGTTTGTCAGAAAGGTTTTAAACTTGGTGGATTGCATGCTGTTATGGGAGCCTACAATTTGTATATCTCGGATTTTTTATATCCGTGACCTAAGGTCAGGTCAGTGGCATGACCTTTCCATTACAAGTCAATGGAGAAAAATGAAAATGCCTCTAGATCCGTGTGTACGCATAGGAACAGTCCAAATATTTCAGAATCACAATGATTTAGTCCACTCGTGATGACCAAGGTGTCATTTTTGCTGATAGCCTCTAGAAAGGTCATCCGAGGTCATTTGAGGCTACAAACAGTTTTTTGCCAATAACTCGCGATTGGAAAGAGATAGAACGCTGGGGATGGTCTCATTGTGTTTGTCTTGTTGAGACGCATCGACTGATATGCAACATGACCTTTTCCGGTCAGGTCATGACCTTGACCTGAGGTCAAATTTTTAAGTTGACCTTTCAAGGTCAAATTATAGTTCATTCGACGCGTCTCGGTGAGGGGAACACGATTCTGGCAATAGAAATGTCGTGGCTTTTTGTAGTCGAAAGTTATTGTCGAAAAACACTTTTCGTAAAAACAGCTATTTTTGGAGTTTTTGCCCTCTGGAGGCTAAACCGTTGACCTGAGGACAATATTGATAATGACCTTTTCAAAAGAAAAGTTCAAAAGCTATCGATTGCTTTTCCATGCGTTTTTCTAGCTACCATAGTTCCTGAGATAGCGGCATGTTTTCTGAAAAATATAATGACAATTCGCAAATTTTGACCTTTGATGACCTCTGGTGACCCCAATATTGTTCTAAGGTGAAAAATGACCGAAATACTTTCAAACGTACGTATTGAGAGCTATCGACTGTTTTTTACCGCGTCTTTCTAGTCCTCTTAGTTTTTGAGTTAGAGGTGGGTGGTAACATATGCCCCCCCTCACTAGGGCGAAGTTGGCCGAGACCGCCACTGGGGCGCGGGTTAAAATAAATAGACTGAGATTGGAGGTGCTCACACCCAAAACAGTTCTCGGGGGCCGTCAGATGGGTGCCAAATGACTCTCACATCACAAAATATATTTTTGATCAGGGATGCTAAGCAAGCCTCCAAGAGGAGAGGTAAAAACGTGAAAATTCAATACAAAGAGCTAACTCAGGAATACTTCAAGCGAAACTAGTTCTGAGAAGAGGGTGTTTATGAAGAGCGTGAAGTTCAGTGGCGTATCCAGGGGGGAGGCCAAGAGGCCATGGCCTCCCCCTTTGGGATCAGACATGCAAGTGGGCCCTTTGGGTCACTTGAGTGCAGTGACGTACCCAAGGGGGCCACGGGAGCCCCTGAGGTCCAAGGATAACTCAGGGGAACCAGCGTGACGAAGGCGTTATGGGTCTCCCTGCCTTAATTCCAGTACTACAGAATGTCTTTTACTCGAAAAAAAAACAATATCAAAGAGCGATATCTATCACAGTCACAAACACCGAGGGCCCCTAACTACCTGAGAGCCCTGGGTACCTGAGGGGGCCCCTGGATACCTGAGGAGCCCTGGTTATCTGACGAGCCCCTAGTTACCTGAGGGGCCCCTGATTATCTGAGGGGCCCCTGGTTGTCCGAGAGGTTCCTGGTTGTCTAAGGGACCCCTGGCTACCCAAGGGGCCCCTGGTCACCTGAGGGGTCCCTGGTTATCTGAAGGGCCCTGGTTACCTGAGGGCCCCTGGTCACGGGACCCCTGTTTACCTGAGGGGCCCCTGGTTACCTGAGGGACCCCTGGTTATCTGAAGGACTCCTGGTAAAGGACCCCTGGTTACGATGGCCCCTAGTTACCCAAGGGGCCCCTGATCCCCTGGATGGGCCCTGGCCAGTCATCTGAAGAAGCCCTGGTCACCTGAAGGGCCCATGTTTACCCGGGGGGTACCTGGTTATCTGAAGGGATTCTGCAGTCACATGAAGGCCCTTTAGTTGCCCGTGGAGTCCCTGGTATAACCGGCCTTTGATTATCAGAGGGTCTCCTGGTCACGGTAACCTGGTGGGCCCCTGATCAATTGAAAAGCCTCTGCAGTCACCTGAGAGGCCCCTGATTGCCTTAAAGGAAGGGTGCCACCTTTTGGACACAACGCAGTTTTTACAAGATTAGCCTCACATGAACCTAAAAACCGGCTTCACTTACCTATGCTCGAGACGGTCAGCATTGAATTCGCACGTGAAGTTATCATTTGCGAGTTTTGCTGCCAGCATTCGGGCAGGCAAAAATCTTCAGCACTATTTCCTCGTCGTGTTAAGGGTATTTTATAAAACATGAAATCAGCAAAGGTATGTATAAAAGTTATACTTTTGAAGCATGTTTTATCATTTTGAAAGGGTATATTTTTTCTTTATGGTATACACTTAAGTTTTAAAATTTTAATTGGGAAGTTTTTCTAGTAAGTTGCATGAAGGGTGAAGGGTTCCATAGATCTCTTAAGCATTGTAAAGGAAAAACCTTTACTCGACTTATTTGATGTTCTTTTGACGTATCTTACTTAGTTCAACTTACTTACTACAACTTAGTTCAAATCATGTTATCTTCTTCGTTTTTATTTGTTCATCTTTTTGTCTCAGTTGCGCCATCAATGCAAATGGCAGAATGATATGTTGCCATGACAACAGGATATGCCAGCCGTCCTAGCTGCCACATCAAACGACCTTGAGTTGTAGTGGTGATATAAACAACGTTTTTTTTTTGGCCAATGTATTAAATGCAATGTTTCGGTTTTTTGTATATTGTGGACGCGCTAACCACGTCTAAAAATTCAAATAAGTAAAATAGATTCATAGAACAAAAATTTCGGAAGGTGGCACCCTTCCTTTAAAGGGACTATCCCACCTTTAACATGGGGTTTGAGTTGAGATAGCCAAGTTTGCGGCGAGGTTCAGAAACCACTATCTATCTAGGTTGCAACCCCCGCGGCCTCTTGGTGTTGAAGAAATTCGTTCCCTTCATTTGAAAATGGGCCTTGTACAAGGCCCTATCTTCAACATGGAGCGACCGTTAGTGTGACGTCACCTCGTTTAGTCATTCTGATTTAAATGGGTTTGTTCGTTGAAAAATCGCTTAAAACTTGGTCTGAACTTTGTTGTGGTGCCTACAGAGTAAAAAGAATCAGCTTTATGACAGTAATGTGGCCTGGGGAAGGAGGTAATTTTGGGCTGTGACGTCACATATTTGAAAGTTTGTGTTTGGAATATGGGAAGCCTAAGATGTTTAATGAAAAATAAATGCCAGAACCGTGTTCCTGGTCATCCAATCTATAAAGTCGGGCACAATTTAACTGGTTTTACCAACATTTTAGAAGGTGGGATAGTCCCTTTAACGGCCCCTGATCACTTGGATTCAATGGCATAGCCAGGGGGCGAGGGACACGTGTCCGTTATGTGGTTTAGGGTCCCCTCGGGCCCGAGGGGCCCTACGGTGCCAATTGACATCAGAGGGTCCGCGCTGGCCACGCTTCAACTGGAAAGGAGTGAAAGGACACCACGGGGCTTTTGAGAACACGTCATGGGCTCTTATGTAGCCACACTTATCTCCAGAAGGGCCCCACCCGAGGTTCTGAATGACCTTGCCGGCCTCTGAGGGCCCTTGCCGACCAATGAGGGATCAGCTGTAAGGGCCCCACACCTGTTTGTTATTCCCCCACGGCCCACACCAGTATTTCTGAGGGCCCTTACAATGGCGACTGGGAGGGCCCTCACCGGCCACCGCCACCTCTAAGGGTCCCACAGCAGCGCCTCTTAACGGCCTACATCGGCGGCTCTGAAGGTCCGCTCACCGGCGCCTCCGAGGGCCCTATACCAGCGCATCTAACGGCCACTTACCAGCGACTCTGAGGGCCTCTTACCGGCATCTCTGAGATTCCCTTGCCGGCCTATGAAGGGCCACTAGTAACTTTCAGGGTCCCATACATGCCTATGACAGCCCCTACCAACGTCTCTAAGCCCTAAGGCCCCCACAACGGCGCCTGTGTGGACCCCACACCAGCGCATCTGACGGCCTTTCATAGACACGTCTGAGGGACCAACACCGGTGACTCTGAGCGGCTCGCTCGCTTCGTTTCTTCAGTGGCAAAGAACCGCACCTGTGCGTGGGTTAAGTATGCTACCACTGGGGCCCCTAAGGTAAGGGTGGGCCCCCTTGAGCAGGTTTGGCCTCCCCCTTTTCAAGATCCTGGATACGCCACTGGTGAAGTTTCATGAAGTTAAGTGAATCTGAAAGCACAGCACCTGACCGTAGTGTCAGGTGACTTTGCCAAAGCCGCAGACGTGACCTTCACAAAATCATGGACCCGAACTTTGATGGAGTGACAAGATCATTTCTCCGAAGTTACGAGAGCTTTGTTTCCCACAGGTCCGAGATTCGAGTATCGATCCCACCAGGCGACACAGACGCAGTGGGTGCCACTGCGCTGCACTGAACACACAAAGATGCCAATCGATGACAACTAAAAAGGCATCACTGTGCCTGTTTGTTTAGCTCGACTCTTGTATTTGCTTTCCTCTAATCACAAAACTTCTTGTTCATTCATAATTCTTCTCTTGTTCCAGCGCTCCTGGAGGCTGCCCTGGGGTACTCCAGTTGACCTGTTCGGTGACCCGACTTTGGACGACCGTGGAGACCTCCGTAAGCCTGGAAGAGTGCGGCTGCATCACGAGCCAGCAGGATGTGCGCACAGAGGCGCCCCTCATCGACAGCAGAGGTCAGTGGCGGTGATGCTGCTCAAATGATGACGGCTTTGCTTTACGGTAACGGACGGTCATCGATAGGGATCCTAATGTGTAGGAAGTGATTTACATCGGAGCTATACGGAAACAGGAAATGAGCTAGGAAGGAAGTTGTTTTCTTGTTAGTCTGCACTGTATGAATATACAGAGAAGCTGCTCGTAAAAACGGTGCAAAAACTATATAAGTACTCATGTAAGCGTTTATTCGAGTAGAGGCGAATACATCAGTACCTAATATATCACTCCATCTCCTAAATTAGGCACTCTGTGGCACTGGGACTTGGAAGTTAGCTTCGTTGAGCACCGTCCCACAAGGCAGTCAGCAGCCACACAGTTGCAGCCGATCAATAGAGGGCTGTTTTCTCCACGGGTCATTTGATGTCGCCCGAGTCTTCAGGCCACGTGTCACTCAGCCACCCAGGTCACTCGGGGACACTCGGGTTTCTCCGCCACCCTGTAACTAACTAAGGTCATTCAATCCTAAAACAGGTCACTCGAAACCATTCAGTCTTCTTCCATTTTAGCTACAAAATCATTCATCAAGTCACCCATGGCCACCTGGGCCAATCAGAGTTAGCTTCGTCAAGTCGTTTAGGCCACTTAGTCTTCCAACAGTTCACTCAGTATGTTAAATGTTATATTTTGTCTTCTTCCTGCTCACTCGGGGTCATTCTCTACTCCGCTTGGTCACTCTGAGTTAATCACTCTGTCACTCTGAGTTAATAAGCTCTTAATAAGCTCTTGAAAAAGACGGACTTGTGTTGTGCTCTGGCTGGACACTGGCAGGCTACGACTGAAGGCGGATTAAAGCCGTGGCCAGAGCGAAACCAGACTATCAGCACAGCCAATGGTCGGCTTTTTATGTACCCCGCGGTCTCACGGATATACGAGCATGACCTTCGGTTCGGCTGCTGGCCCGGCACTTAGCTGCAGTAAATGGCGCAGTGTGGCGCCAGCGTTCCGAATTCCGATCGTCTGTCGCCTGCGGGCCAAATGCTTGGGAGACATGCTCTGCTCCTCACTCGAGCCTATGATCATTGGCCAGAGATGATAAGCGGGTGGGGATTTCGACGTTTTTCCCACCTGTGCTATCGTCGACAGGCAGCACATTGGAGAAAAACATCGCTTACGTTTTGTGGTATTTATGCAAGCATTGTGAACCAGACCATCCATCCAGGGACTCAGATTACGATATTATTGAAAAAATAAATGCATTCGGTTAAACATTTAAGCATCTGTAGGTATGCATCTTCCATCAACAGCGTATGATGTCCGTGGAAGTAACACCACATACGCCGAATGCCACCTGTCTTGTAACATCAACATCATCCATTTACACTCAGTGTTCTTTTCACGGTTTCCCTGCCTCTGTCAATTTCGAACACAAACACAGAGAAACGGTTTTCCATACCATAGCCGACGCTCGCAGCCGTAGACACTTGTCGTTTATTTCCACAGGGAAATTCTTACTAACAGAAACGTAAATGCATTGTAACCGTCCGCAGACCTTCCATTTCAAAACAGCTCAAATCAAATAACAGCTGCCTAAATCAAATACAGGGTGGGGCAGCATAATCGGGAATGCTTTTTGGGCTCTGGTCATGAGTAGGCATGGCATTATTTTGATAAATTATATCATGGCAATGAAACGCCCAAAAGTTGTGCATCATCTGACATGACTACATCCATGAGCATGCAACTTCCTGGAAAAGAGCAGCAAAATAGTTCGACGGTGCTCCAAGTGCTTTGCGCGCGCCCATAGACACTAATGTTAAACGAGTAAAACAAGAACATTTTGTTTAAAACAATGCCATTCCACGTAAAGGTTGCTGGACAGGTCAACGTGTTATCACGGACGATAAGGATTGTGTGGGGATACTTAGGACAAAAAGTTAACGTAATCGTCGTAAAATAACTCTTAGCAGAGGACATACAAGATGACTCACTTGAATATAAGGAAGAAGCTCTTAAGCATATTAAAAAGAAACAATGTTCAAAACTTCAGCGACCAAAAATCTTATCACCGACTGGAATACGATAAAAAAGAATGGCATGCCATATAGGGGATTGTATCGAGAATATTGCAGCGGTCATGCAAAGTAAACATCCTGTTGAGGTGATGGACCTATGGGTGGTCTTCAAGGGAGGTGCACGTGGTGCACCCTACTTCATCGAGCCCGGATAAAACGAGCACCTCTGGTAAATACATCCACACTCTGGCAGACTCACGTGGAGTCGTCGGAAGAGAGGATCACTGACGGTCCAGATCACGTCTTACGAGGACTCTGTCCGTGCTGGTACTGCAGTGAGGACGACATGTTATTGTGTAGGGCACCTCCACCTGAGATGAACCAAAAACTTCTGGTCCTTCAACTCCGCCGATTTAAATCCGACCAAATTCTTTATATGGAGCGTTTTTTGGTAGAAGTTTAATGAACAACTTATCATCAGTAAAAACGGTCTTCAGTGCAAGGTACGAAGCTGATGGGCGATCATGGACAAGCAGGAGGTTGCACGTGCATGCGCGTGCTTTTGGACCCGCCTTGAGAAGGTCATCGACGCGAAGGGCGGTCAAATAGGATGAGGGATAGGTAAAAGGTGACCGATTGATGGGATGTTGTTAAAATAGTGCTTGGAGCTATATTTTTAAATTCATGACCAAATAATCCCGTTTGATATTTATTCCCGATTATGCTGCCCCACCCTGTAATCGGCATAGTGCGCATCCTTCCACACAGTGACTCCAAACACAGGCTCAGCGTGTCTCTGGGAGTGGTGTGTTTGGGTGTGTTGTGCAGATGTCAGCCCGGTGGAGGCGCGGCGGCTGTTCACGGCGGAGGAGGTGTGCCTGGTGCTGCTCGTGCTGCTCCTCTGGGTGGCGGCCATCGCGCTCTTCATCAACCGCTGGGGCAAGATCCGGATGCTGGAGCCCTGTCTGCCGTATAAGCTGGCAACACTCGGAGCAGAAACGCCAATGACGGTGCAGGTACGTTTCTCGCTTGATCGTTTAAGATATGGGTCCGTTTGTCGGGTTGCGTTGCCGAGTTACACTAAATCAAACATATGCTCTCTCATTGTGTTTATGATATTCCCCTTCAACAAAACCATACAAGGAAAAAACAGCAGAATGGACAATACGGGTGTGTTAGCCTTGAGTTTATCGCCCATTTCTTTTTTTTCGCATTTTGTGAACCAAAGAAAAAGAGTAATTATAGGAAAATATGATGTTTTATACCTATCGCGTGATTGTGATATGATTTGTAATTTTCTAGTTCAGACACAGGCCAACTAACATAAACCATTGTAAAGCAAGTAGGGGAGACCCGGGAGGTATGGGCCGGTTTTGTGAAAAGGCAATTTTCTTCCAGTGGGCTGTGGCTAGACTCGGTTTTTCACTCTGTATACGTGGCATTGCCTTTCGCCTGCAACGTGTGCCTGATATTAGGCATCTGGGATCAACTATTTTGTCTCGAGATAACTTTCAATAAATCATGTGCTTTTTCGATCCATCAAAATACACCGGGAGGTATGGGCCATGGCCCGGGAGGTATGGGCCGGTGCCATGTTTCATATTCTTTTCTCGACAATAAGAATAATACTCGTAGCTGGTATCTACCTTGATCTCTCTTAGAGCCCAGGAACCGCATAAGCGGCCAACAGCTTGCTTCATGGAGGCCTCTTGGGCCCATATGTATTTTGGTAAACACAATCATGCACCATGAACTAAGATCAATAATATTTTTCTGTTCGAATCAAATTTGTAGTTAAATTTTCGACCTTGCGCGACAAAAATAAAACTTATTGACGAGGACATTCAATGAAAGCATCTTTTTATTCATTTAGGATCACCGGGGGTGGGTGGCCCGAACCTCCCGGTTAGGACGCCATAATGTGTGTTATAGCATCTCAGCTCATAATCTTGCAAGAAAGCTTCATATTGTCGATCCAGTCTTAATTTGCATGCTTTAAACTTTATATCAGCGAAGGTCTGACATCATAAAACGAGCCTGGTTCAAATTTATCACGAATTTTCTGTATGTACCGTATTTTACTCGAAGAGGGCAAAAACGCTTTATCACCGCTCATTGCCAAAGAAGACTGAGGAAGGCTTTGAAAATCACGTGGGATGTATAACGAAATGGCTGCTACCAGTTAACGCCGTCAAATGTGTAAAAATACGCAACACTTCTTCAAAACTGCGATGGCCCATACCTCCAGGGGGCCCATACCTCCCGGGTCTCCCCTACATATAATGATGAACCAAATGTTCATCGCAAAGCCCGTGCCAAAGTGACCTCCCAGCTTGGGACTGATGAGTCCCACCCACACCCCTGTATCGATCTCGTTGCCTCGGTTGGTGTCTCTTCCAACGGACCTAGAACATGGCTTCTGGAGTTCGCTGTAGGTACAGCTCAGAGCGACCACTGGCTACAGCTCTGGAGTGCGTTAGAGGCACTGCTGTTCAATGAACAGAGCTATAGACTGTAATATCTACATGTCGAACTATATAGGTTTCTATAGACCTCTGTAGAAGTCAATGGCAGAGTCAATCAGTCCGTGCAGACACACGGGGATCTATTCACAGCTCTTAAGGTTTCCATTGGTTTCCATATAGGTAGGTTTCCATATCAGCGTCACAGGTCTGAGACATGAGGAGGGTGGTCCACATGAATTCAGCATGATTACATGGGGTGCTCTCCAAGCTTCAGGCTACGGCAAACTAATTATGATCTAGATGTAAGGCATTCTGAAAAATATAATGACCTTTGGCAAATTTTGACCTTTGATGACCTCTGGTGACCCCAATATTGCTCTAAGATGAAAAATGACTGAACTTCTTTCAAACGAACGCATTGAGAGCTATCGACTGCTTTTTACCGCGTCTTTCTAGCCCTCTTAGTTTTTTTTTTTTAGCTAGAGGTGGGTGGTAACATATACCCCTCCCCTTCCCACCAAGGCGAAGTTGGCTGAGACCGCCACTGGGGCGCGGGTTAACCCGGCAGTTGCTGGGGTGTTTCGCCAGCCGCCGTTTGCTGGGGGGGGGGGGGGGCGTTAAACGCCCCCAGCTGATAACTCAAGAACCAATAGGCGCAGCAAAACGCACGAGGCGGCAAACGAAAGAACGCGACGAGACGCTTCAGATGATTACTTGAAACTTGAATTTCGAGGTCACAAGTCGGGTCAAGGTCAGGTCAAACACCTGAAATCGGGCTTTCAGTAGCATTGACTTCAGAACCTCGCGATTTGCGCCTCTCGTCATAAACTCTGTCTAAACGGTGCACAATCCTTCATTTAAGGCCTACAACTTGTCAGATACCTACATGTAGGGTTAGTCAAACATAGGTCAGGGTCAAGGTCAGGTCAGTCAGGTAAGCACATATCCCCGAATATCAAAACTGGTATTCGCAGTCTATGGCACATGTTTTATGGGTAATTTTGGGCGTAGAACACGATGGTGACATTCATTTTGTCATATGTGTACGTGTTTGGTTCAAAAAGTTCAATTTAGGAAATGCATGTAGCATGGTCGTGAAGTAGTCACGATAAATTGCCAAGATTCAGTTCAAGATTTTTGAAAATGTGGAACGATGATAAAAAATCGGAGCCATTTGATTATGCTTGGTATTAGCAGTCTACTGGCGTTTACCGCATGTCTGTATCTCTATTCTGTGATTTTATGATTTTTTGAACATATGCTGTTTTTGGTAGAAACCTCAGAAATCATGAAGTCACTAAAACCTCGATATCTAAAAAATTCAGATCCGATTTTTGTTTTTGAAACTTTGGCAAAACAAACTTTATTCATTTTCCTACAGGTACCCAATAGCGCGGCGAAAAAAGTGGGGGCGTTTAACGCCCCCCCCAGCAACTCGCGGGTTAACACGCGCACTGCAGGGGGGGGGTTGTTTTCAACCCCCCCCCCTGTGGTTTTTCGCAGATCGCAAGAAAACGGCGGCGCGCAGCGCCGCCAAATTTTGCATACCTGTTCTCCCAACTGTTGCGCACCTTGAGTGAAAATTTTGACCCCAGGTGACCTATGGTCAGGTCACCAGGTCAGGTCAAGTGACCCTACCTCAGAACGTAAATTTCGAAGTTTGCAATCCCACCAAGCCCACAGTTGTTGAGATAGGATCTTGAAACCCGCAGGAAGTAGTAAGGGCATCACGAGCTACAATTTGTATATCTCGGAATTTTTATATCGATGACCTAAGGTCAGGTCATTTTTGCGACCGGCCCATTATAAGTCAATGGGAGAAATTTCAACTTACTCTGAATGCCATCCTATGACTTCAATATGCTCAGGATCATAGTATTACAGGTCCCTGTTGGTGATTTCGCCGAAACATATCACTTGTGACCTTTGGAAGGTGACCTCCAGGTCATCTGAGGTCACCTGAGGTCACCAACGGTTTTTCTTCAATAACTTGAGATTGAATAGAGATAGAGACTCCGTTCGACGTTTATCGTGTTTGTCTCGTCAATGCGGATCGAATGATATGCAACATGACCTATTTCGGTCAGGACATGACCTTGACCTGAGGTCAAATTTTCAACTTGACCTTTCGAGGTCATATTATATATCATTCGATGCGCCTTGACGAGCTAAGAACGATGGCGTTCGAATCAACTCTCTATCTCTTCTGTGTAACGAGTTATTCAAGAAAAACTACCGCGAAATTCCCGTTGTGAAAATCGTAACATTTTGTCTTCGGTGACCTCTGGTGACCTCGTTTTTGACCTAGGACAAAAATGACCTTAGTATTTCCTCTAGATAACATCCCGACCTATCCAACGCCGTTTACCGCTTGTCGCTACGTTGCGCCGTTTTCGAGATCTCAGGGGGGGTTGTTTTCAACCCCCCCCCCCCTGCATTTCGTGTTCGGCTCAGACCCGCTGCAGTGCGCGTGTTAAAAGAGACGCTCCAAATGAAGCCGACTTGGAAATGCTCGAATCCCAGTATGCGATATCTGGTCAGCAGGCAGTTGACGCCAACTGAATTTTCAAAACATAGTGATTTTTAAATAAGCTTTCGCTCTCCCGTCTATAGTTCAGCAACTATACAGTCTTCAGCGCTTACAGCCGCATTCCATCTCCAAGCTTCAGTCCACTCATCCAACTTCAGAATGTATCAGACCATAAAACAGGCTATGCAGCCTGGCTGGACATGGCCTGTGTCAGACCGCTGCGCTCGTGTAGTGTTATTGTTATGTTTGATGTTGGAGAGTTCTTATGTTGTGTTGGATCATTACGTTGAACCATCGGCTGCTCCATGACGGGCGTGACGCAGTTCCGATGGTTTTCTCTGCTCGGTCTACATGCGGTCAGCCGAGACCATTTGGACATTTACTGCACCATGTGCGAGGCACAATGCCGGTTTACGACGGTCTTCTGGGGCTTGACCTTGTCGCTTCCCAAAAGCAGCGCAGTTAAAGATGTACTTTATGTGGGAAACAGTTCAAGTGTGCTCTAGAGTTTCCATCGGACTGAAATTTGGTTAAGTGCCCTTTTTACGTTAAATACTCTTGTTCTGCATTGACTTGGGGAAAACTTGCTAGGAATCATGGTTTGTCACATGACAGAATAAAAATTAGGCATAGATCAAGTACTTGCCTTTTCAAATATGTCATTTGTATTCGCAAGTCACGAGCACGCGCTATACAGAAGCATGTTAAGACGACTTCACACTATTGCTAACTAAAAGCTTGTTTGAAGCCTCTCCAGAAAAAGTTCAAAACTACCAACTAATAAATGAAAGGAACTAGAGCCCTAGAACATCAGTTTTAGTTATTGCTTGACATTTACCTAGCAGGAGCGTTCATGGGGTGCATTTTTATTGAATCGCCATTCATGTCTTATGCATCGATAAGACTGTGTCTCTTAAATACGGTGCCGGTCAATTCATTTCAATTAAACCTTCAGAGAAAGAAGTTGACACCGGCCACGGCTTTAAAGTTCGGAGTGAAATGGTCCTCCAGTAGCTGCTGA